CTCTGCGAGTCAGACTCAATATCTGATCCCTCTATGGACGACGAGAAAGATTGACAGGGTATGCAAGAGGACTCTGAAGAAGCACAGCGAGAACACGGATGAGCATTGCCAGTACGCTAATTCGCTAGGTGCCCTGAGAACGAGATGAGAGACCACTTCCAAGAACATCGAGGTCAGCGCTCCACTCAGATTTTCCGTTGCCCTGTCACACGAGAGGAGGATCTTCCCGCAATTCTCCGTCGCTATCCGAGGGTTGGAAGCCCGCAGGGAGTAGTCGATTGTTCGGCCTGTTTCAATCAGTTCGCAGGAAACGTCGGCGTGGAGGATGATCATTTGAGAATAGTGTAAGATACAAGGGTGACAATTCGAAAGCAGCCGATCCCCTCTTGGAGTTGAGTCTCCGTACGGAAGAGTTGCTTTGAAGCCCTCCACTCTACCGCTAGACAGAAGATGAGCATCAGCGACGTAAGTAAAGCCGTCGTTCTCTCGCGCGTCAGCCTCCGTAGAATCGAGCCTGATCGTTGCACTCGTTGCAAATAGAGGTAAAGAACTTGAGAGTTGTAGGACGAAACTATGTAGAGCCGTAGCAGTTGCAAATCTTCGCTGCTCTCGGACGCAATACCGTGCAGATAGGCAACCACATGGTTCAAGGTGACGATCACGTGGACGAATTGGTGAGCCTTCGAGCGGAGGTCCGAGAGTCTCGAGCGTCCGCTTCCATAGAATTTCGGCGTTTCGCGGTGGGCTTCGAAGATTCCGCCTGATGAGATCATGGGCGAATTCTGGAGCTGCGTTTGCCTCTAGTTCCTGAGCCGCGTTCTCCACGGAGCCGCTCTCGATCAGAGCTTTCGAGGGCTTATGTCCGAGGTCTGTTCCAGCACTTCTACATATATTCCTTTCGACTGTTTTTCCCTCAGTCCTCCATCTGAATACACAACGACTGAGTATCTGCGCTCATGGCGATACGAGATATCATAGTCGATACGACTCCGGAAAAAAATCTTGTTGTTCTCGCGAGACAAAGGATATTCTCGCGAGACCGGTCGTCGGCAATCGGTCTTTCTGCTGTATTCGAGCTCGACGTTCCGAACCCCCGCGAAGAGAAATGAATAAAACGACCGCGATATGATCGGTCATCCTCTGTTTTATTCCTCACTAGCGTACCCGCCCGCGCTTCGCTGCGGCAAATAGCCTGATCGACACCAAGGACACGTTCGGCTAATGAAGGTAGACCGCCGCAAATCATGGTTCGTTTTCTAGCCATTCGTGTAGAGGTGAAATAGGAAAACTCTTGATCACACTACTGATTACTACAGAATCAGACTCTAGCGGATAGGATGTCGAGTTTCTTTTATTCGGTAGTCGGCAGGGGTATCTCCAGTTCCTCGAACTCTGAGAAAACACCTCCCGTCAGCCACCACTTTTTCAGATATTCTTTTCGAGTTTCGCCGGTCGGTTCACCATCGTTGAAGGTGGTGTTCGCCATCGAACCGAGAACTATTTTGCCACGAAACTCTTTTACGGTTATCGACTTGATAGATACGGGACAGCCCTCCATGTCTGTTAAT